ATAATTGGAATATATGCAAGTTACTTCTTAGTATACATAGCTATACACACATGATGAAGGAGGTATACATAGCTATATACACACAATTAAGGAGGTATACGTAGCTATATACACACGATGAAGGAGGTATACATAGCTATACACATGATGAAGGAGGTATACATAGCTATACACACATGATGAAGCAGGTATACATAGCTATATACACATGATGAAGGAGGTATACATAGCTATATACACACAATTAAGGAGGTATACATAGCTATATACACATGATGAAGGAGGTATACATAGCTATATACACACAATTAAGGAGGTATACATAGCTATATACACACAATTAAGGAGGTATACGTAGCTATATACAGATGATGAAGGAGGTATACATAGCTATATACACACAATTAAGGAGGTATACGTAGGTATATACACACGATGAAGGATGTATACATAGCTATATACACACGATGAAGGAGGTATACATAGCTATATACACACAATTAAGGAGGTATACGTAGCTATATACACATGATGAAAGAGGTATACATAGCTATACATGCATGATGAAGCAGATATACATAGCTATATATACACACAATTAAGAAGGTATACATAGCTATACACATAATGAAGGAGGTATACATAGGTATACACACATTATGAAGGAGGTATACATAGCTATATACACGATGAAGAAGGTATACATAGCTATACACACATTATGAAGGAGGTATACATAGGTATATACACGATGAAGGAGGTATACATACGTATATATACGCACGATGAAGGATGTATACATAGCTATATAATCATGATGAAGGAGGTATACATAGGTATATACACACAATTAAGGAGGTATACATAGCTATATACACATGATTAAGGAGGTATATGTAGCTATATACAGATGATGAAGGAGGTATACATAGTTATATACACACAATTAAGGAGGTATACGTAGGTATATACACACAATTAAGGAGGTATACATAGCTATATAAACATGATGAAGGAGGTATACATAGCTATATACACACAATTAAGAGGTATACATAGCTATATACACACAATTAAGGAGGTATATATAGCTATATACACATGATGAAGGAGGTATACATAGGTATGCATACATCATGAAACAGGTATTCAATATTTACATTTCTTGGAACAGGTATACATGTAGTTGTTAGGGGAACACAGCAGACTGGTAATTTTCTCCCCTGCAGAACATGAATTATTTCATGAAATATATCAAATAAACAGCAAATAATTGCGTAAACCTTCACAAGAAGATGTTGCTACAATTGTTTCTCTCATTGAGAACAGCATATGTTTGTTATCCAAAGACCAGTTCTCATGAAAAAAACACCTGCAATCTTTATCTTAACAAGTATCTTGTATTGCACTAAACCTTAGCCGATGTTGAAAATATGCCATTCCTTCTGACAGCATAGCTCCAGACAGAGATAGCATGTCTCTATCATAGTTTGCATCAGTGAAGAATTTTGATTTTGGTTTCATCTCAGGTCTCCCCTGCAACCTATATATAGAACTAGTTCATGTGAAAATAGCCTGTACATGTTTGAGAGTCTCTGCATAGAGTCACTGACAGTGGTGTTCAGTGGTAGGAATTAGTTTGTTCCTGTTTGTTCCTCTATGAGGCTTCAGACATTCTTTCTTGTTGATATATTCATAGTCTGTCTCTTGCAGGTGATAATATTGGTGCTATTAGTTCCGGGGACATCTTTAATGAATTTTCTCTCCATAAATTACCCATCAATATAATGGCTGTCTTTTTAAATAGGTTAGAATAGCTGAGGTAGTCAAAGTAAAATGCATAATTGATAATTTTAAGGCAGAATAGATACTCTTGGCTACCAGGCAGTTCAAATGTGGATTGTATGACCACAATGCCTGTAGACTATGGATAGACGTAACAAGGCATTACGCTTGCATTGACATCTAGGGTTCATAGAGTTTACTTGTTCAAGAAACTTTGGCAGGGGGGCCTTTCCCCCCTGAGGATCGAAATGCTAGTTTTTCCGCTCCATCTGGAGATCACGCGACAAAGGAAATGGTAAGGGACAAAATGGCTGTTGTCTACATCACCTGACTACCAGATAGATTGTGATGTCTCTAGCCAGTCTTCACGCTTCTTCTACAGAATAGAGGCCATTTTGTAAGGATAGCATGTCCTGGTTTATGTGATTAAAAACAGTTAGAAGTGCTGGAGATCACATGGCCTTTAATATGGACAGTTGCCCATGCATTTATGAAGTATTACGATAAATGACCTACAGAATGTGATACCATCCACTATTTTATTAAGTTATTGTGACCTTGCAGGATTATTCAAATAAACACTAAACTCTGTAACCTTGAAAATTGGATCTGACAGTTCTAGGCTCTGATGTTGTAGCCATGCCGGAGGTGTTCTCGATGTAGCGCAGGTGTCATTGACATTTCATTCTGGTCCCAGTACAACACATATGGAACATATAGGTGTGCATTTTCCCTGAGAATGTGCAGTGTGTTTTCATGTGCAGTTCACCTGCAGGTACAACCTGCCTGGAATGTGTGATCCCAGCAGTGATGAACCAGAAGACCCAGGTACAGCTAGAACTGTACCTTGCAGATCAAGTACCACAGACGGAGGCAGTTTGTAGGGAAATGTTATCATATGACATCAAAACATATGAAGAATATTGTGTGAGGGTTAAAATAGATGGCCGTAATTAGAGCCATGGAACTGTGATGGATTTAGACCGATGGATGAGACATATGGGCTGATGGAAGTGTAGGTAGATTGAGTGTAAATAGGAATGGAAACTATATTCCACCACTACCATCCTAACTGCTTTAGTTTACAAAGATGTATCCTTTGATTGTCCTTGCTTCAGCAAATGAAAAACTTGGTTGTAAATTTCATGGCCAATATATTACAAGCTGGATTTCTTTTTGCATAATAAAGTGAAAATTATGAGTTGGTCTACCGAACAACCTTTCCTTTGAAATATGGTTGTTAATCTTCTCATGTTGACTTTTTCTCAAAAATTAAAAAAAAAATGAAACAGATTTTTGGTTTTGGATATGCTGCTTTTGAAATAATATCTATGGCAACACAAACCTAATGACTTTTATACCATTGACAGAGACCAGAGACACTTCTAACACCTGTAGCAGCTGAGTTGTGAGTGTATGGCATGACTGTTTTGGGGGGGTTGAATTCCCCGAAGGTTGTTGTGTGGGAAAAATAGTTGAAATTTATCATTGTATAGGAGGTTGTTTTATGGGTACCAGGAGATACATGGAAGCTGGTCTCTGATACTCTTATCTTATTTGGCATACGGTAGTCCTGCACCATGAACGTGGAATATATTTATTTTATTAAAAAAAATAATCAAGATATTTATACAAAAGCAAGTCTAGCCAGCTCAAGCTAGCTCTATTCCACAAATAAGCATAGGGATTTTTTTAAAATTTTTATAGTCAAGAAGGATATTGTGTAATATAAGATTTCAGAGACTAAATGAAAGTCTAGGCATACGGCAACATAGAGTCTTATGTAGTCACAGGGATGGATTAACGCTTATTCTTTGAAAACATTTTTTAAATATATTTTCTCAAAAGAACCTCTCCTCCTCTTCTTAAGGAAACTAGACTTGGTTTGGTTTGATGCACACTCACACACGTGCATGCACGTCGCTATTTAATTGCAATAATCTTGACACAATGTTAAACCCCATTTCACCTCACCTCTTTTACACTGGAGCTTTGCCATTGACATATGTTCCTAATGACCTTAGATCTCTGGCATATATCATCAGCTGCCATTATAAGTATCTGGGCCACAGTCATTTAAAATATCTTGTGTAAATACATCGAGAATACTCATAATATTTACTTATGCTCATCTTTCCGTATCATTTACAAGAGGGATAAACAGTCCATATCATGTTTACAGATCCATTGCAATCTCTCCATCTCTGTGATTGACAGAGTCCACTATCCCAGGTCATCAATAACAATAGATTCGAGTATGATAAGCACTTATATATGCAGAAAATAGATAGCATATACTTAGACAATGGTCATATATATAGCAACGGTTGGGATGGTGTACATGTCTTTGACCTTTCAACAGTTTCCAATGTCTGACAAGTCTTGAGTTGTCAAAACAACGATAAACACAATGAACACGATGATGGCACAGTGTGGTCCTTATTAGCTGAGGCTAAACATGGGGGAGTACAGAATCTATTCCATTATGAAAATGAAAAATAATTTGTGAAATTCTAATGTTGTTGATTTTTCATTTTTTGTTTTGTTTCATAAACATGAGGCTAATAATAATAACACTTCAACATTAAGTAATATTAATCATGAAGATTATGAAAAATATTCATAACTTACTTGAAGGAGCTCATTGAGACCCTTCAGTTGTACTTATCTTTCAAGGATATACACTAATAATTATGTGTATATTTGACAGTAAAATATTTTATGTATGCATTGGATGAATATAATGTGCTATTTAGGTATTGGGCTCATTTTGGAGTAAGAATTTAATTAAAATTATGTGTTTAACTGGAAGGAGAAACCATTATATTGTTCATGGCTCACGGAGGTGGGATTTTATGACTGCTTCTATATTTCTTGTTTTTCATTGCAACTTGAAATAATGGCATTTCCTGACTGTTTTGTATAAGGTGCTGCAATTCTCTGTGCAGAGTTGCATCCCTTGGGCATGTCAGAAAAGTGTGATTGTGGGTTCGAATCCCAGTTTGCCCCAATTATGTTCCTAGGTTTGTCAGCACATACCTGTGCTCGTGGGTTTCAAGTGTTAACGTCTGAGACCCACATCAAGCTGACACATGATATAACTCGACTATTGTTCACAGTGTTGTTGAACTGAAGCAACTCACTCACCCTACATCATACACTGAATGAATGAAAGTTGGCATTTGCTAATGTTTCGTATCATATATACATTTCAGCGATGCCATTCGTGTAAGCTGTCAATGGAGTCGAAAACGGTGGCGGTGTGGGCAGGGCGCCTCCCCGGGGAGTGCTGGCACCCACAGTGCTTCAACTGCACCACATGCAAGGAGCTGCTGGTCGACAACATCTACTTCTACAAGAGCGGCGACGTCTACTGTGGCCGCCACTACGCAGATCTCATGTATCCTCGGTGTGACGCTTGTGATGAGGTGGGCTTTACAGTGAAGTCAACTCTTACAGTGAAGTCAGCCTCTCATTAGCGCCTTTTACTTATTTGGGAAGTTGAGAACATTGCAGGGGTCATGAAAACAGTACCCGAGTTTAGGGAGGGGCATGAAAAATAATATATTTTATGACTAAAGTACAGAGGCCATTTTGTGATTTGATGTGGGATGGAGGGTTACAAAGAAACCTAGGTATATTTGGCAAGATTCAAGTGTTTGTGGAGATGGGCTCTGTTGTATTCCACATTGTTACTCTGTCTGTAAGGAAGCAGAGATCACTGTAAGGAGCTTGGGAAAATAAATGTGCACACACAAATGTGAAAGAGGGTGTAAGTATTTGTATGATAAATCAAATATTACTTTGCATTTATTGACATATAATACATTGTATATTATTTGTTGTGAAATAACCCAGATGGCATGAATTTTGTATGTGAGTGGTAACAAAATATTGTATGATGGTGACTAATGATTATGAAAATGTGAGTTTAATATGAGATTGATGATTAATGGAGATTCTGTGAACATTCTGGTTTACTGATGATGCAAGGGATTTTTCTTTTTTCAGTTGATATTTGCACGTGAATACACACAAGCAGAGAATCGGTCATGGCACGTCCACCACTTCTGCTGCTGGTATTGTGACTCGCCACTCGCCGGGCAGCGCTACATCGCCAAGAACAACAACCCATACTGCATTCTGTGCTTCGACAGGATCTTCAGCAAGGTTGGGGCTCAGAAACAAACTAGTGCCAGACAGGGAAAGTTACTGATACAGAATTGTGAATATGTGATCAGTGACAGCATCACATTATTTGAGAGCCTTGATTAAAAACATGAAAAGATTTGGAAAATATCAGTGGACGCTCATGTGATGGTACACATGTTCTGCCGATCCTGCAATCAAACAAATTAAGCACGGCAGTGGCCATGTTTTTCATCAACCAGATGTTGATTTCGTTACAGGATTTTGATTGGACTATGCATAGACTTGTTTGTCTAGCCAAAATATAACTCCATAATTCCCAGTTGCCTCTACAACATGGCTGAGGAACTGAAGAGTTATTCTGGTCCAGAGTCAGCACATGAACACTTCAGGCTGTAAAGATTATCAGAGCTTACTGCTTATCAGATTTCTGGGGTAAATGTCACACAAATATTGACATTGGGGCTGACATGCTTGAAAAGTATTGTCAGGTAAGAGATGAGATTTGTCAGGATACACTTTATGTTGTATGAGATAACAGCTGTTGGTCTACAGCAGATAGACAAGATAAAGTTTTGATATTTTGTTAATTATTTTAGCATTTAGGATTTCACTTCTTTTTGATAAAAATGGATGTATAATATGTATCATCATAATCATGTGTAGAATGAAGTTGTTGGTTGTTAGGAAGCTAGGATTCGTAGTCCATCCTAACTTACAATCAGTGATTGACAACTGAAACCAACGACTACCCACCACAAGGCACCCTTACATGTAACTGAAACCCACAGCCACCCACCACCAGGCCCTCTTACATGTAACTGAAACCCACGACTACCCACCACCAGGCCCTCTTACATGTAACTGAAACCCACAGCCACCCACCACCAGACACCCTTACATGTAACTGAAACCCACGGCTACCCACCACCAGGCCCTCTTACATGTAACTGAAACCCACAGCCACCCACCACAAGGCCCTCTTACATGTAACTGAAACCCACAGCCACCCACCACCAGGCCCTCTTACATGTAACTGAAACCCACGACTACCCACCACCAGGCCCTCTTACATGTAACTGAAACCCACGACTACCCACCACCAGGCCCTCTTACATGTAACTTTAACCCACAGCTACCCACCACCAGGCCCTCTTACATGTAACTGAAACCCACAGCCACCCACCACCAGGCCCTCTTACATGTAACTGAAACCCACAGCCACCCACCACCAGGCACCCTTACATGTAACTGAAACCCACGGCTACCCACCACCAGGCCCTCTTACATGTAACTGAAACCCACAGCCACCCACCACAAGGCCCTCTTACATGTAACTGAAACCCACAGCCACCCACCACCAGGCCCTCTTACATGTAACTGAAACCCACAACCACCCACCACCAGGCCCTCTTACATGTAACTGAAACCCACAACTACCCACCACCAGGCCCTCTTACATGTAACTGAAACCCACAGCCACCCACCACCAGGCCCTCTTACATGTAACTGAAACCCACAGCCACCCACCACCAGGCCCTCTTACATGTAACTGAAACCCACATCTACCCACCACCAGGCCCTCTTACATGTAACTGAAACCCACGACTACCCACCACCAGGCCCTCTTACATGTAACTGAAACCCACGACTACCCACCACCAGGCCCTCTTACATGTAACTTTAACCCACAGCTACCCACCACCAGGCCCTCTTACATGTAACTGAAACCCACAGCCACCCACCACCAGGCCCTCTTACATGTAACTGAAACCCACAGCCACCCACCACAAGGCCCTCTTACATGTAACTGAAACCCACAGCCACCCACCACCAGGCCCTCTTACATGTAACTGAAACCCACGACTACCCACCACCAGGCCCTCTTACATGTAACTGAAACCCACGACTACCCACCACCAGGCCCTCTTACATGTAACTTTAACCCACAGCTACCCACCACCAGGCCCTCTTACATGTAACTGAAACCCACAGCCACCCACCACCAGGCCCTCTTACATGTAACTGAAACCCACAGCCACCCACCACCAGGCACCCTTACATGTAACTGAAACCCACGGCTACCCACCACCAGGCCCTCTTACATGTAACTGAAACCCACAGCCACCCACCACAAGGCCCTCTTACATGTAACTGAAACCCACAGCCACCCACCACCAGGCCCTCTTACATGTAACTGAAACCCACAACCACCCACCACCAGGCCCTCTTACATGTAACTGAAACCCACAACTACCCACCACCAGGCCCTCTTACATGTAACTGAAACCCACAGCCACCCACCACCAGGCCCTCTTACATGTAACTGAAACCCACAGCCACCCACCACCAGGCCCTCTTACATGTAACTGAAACCCACATCTACCCACCACCAGGCCCTCTTACATGTAACTGAAACCCACGACTACCCACCACCAGGCCCTCTTACATGTAACTGAAACCCACGACTACCCACCACCAGGCCCTCTTACATGTAACTTTAACCCACAGCTACCCACCACCAGGCCCTCTTACATGTAACTGAAACCCACAGCCACCCACCACCAGGCCCTCTTACATGTTACTGAAACCCACAGCTACCCACCACCAGGCCCTCTTACATGTAACTGAAACCCACAGCTACCCACCACCAGGCCCTCTTACATGTAACTGGAACCCACAACTTCCCACCACCAGGCCCTCTTACATGTAACTGAAACCCACAACCACCCACCACCAGGCCCTCTTACATGTAACTGAAACCCACGGCTACCCACCACCAGGCCCTCTTACATGTAACTGAAACCCACAGCCACCCTTCACCAGGCCCTCTTACATGTAACTGAAACCCACAGCTACCCACCACCAGGCCCTCTTACATGTAACTGAAACCCATGGCTACCCACCACCAGGCCCTCTTACATGTAACTGAAACCCACGGCTACCCACCACCAGGCCCTCTTACATGTAACTGAAACCCACGGCTACCCACCACCAGGCCCTCTTACATGTAACTGAAACCCACAGCCACCCACCACCAGGCCCTCTTACATGTAACTGAAACCCACGGCTACCCACCACCAGGCACACCCTTACATGAAACTCATGGCTCGCCACCACCAGACACCCTTACATGTAACTGATACTGTAACAACATGATGGACAGAGAACACATGATGAGGAAGCCAATTAAACAGGAAGCCAGTTAAACAAGCATAAAACTTACTCACTCAACAATTGGTTTTAACCCAATGTTGTCATCTCAGATTGTAACCATGTCTCCTTCCAGGTGTGTAACACTTGTCAGCGGCCCATCACCGCGGACTCCCCCGGCATGAACCACGGTGACCTCCACTGGCACGCCTGTCCCCACTGCTTCAGCTGTAGTTTGTGCGGCCGCAGCCTCATGAACAACCAGTTCCTCCTCCGCGAGGGCAAGCTCTACTGCAGCGCCGAGTGCAGGCAGCGGCATGTCATGTACCCCAACGCCTCCTTTGCCAAACATTTGGCATCATCATGAACATGTCCTCAAAGCTGATTGGCCTTCGCTGATTGGACCATTTGATGCTTCCTTGTCTGTCATTGGATGATTTGAAGGTTGATTGTGGTGACCAGTGAAAATGTTTGACATATATTTATGAGTTAGTGCCAATATAGAATTGGATAGTTTGAAGGAACGGTGTGTGGAGATTGTATTTGGGTGTTCAAGTATTTCCAGGAACATATAGGGATGTATCAGTATGCAGGAATAGTCAAGGAACATCTTCAAGCTTGCGCTGCACACAGGATTCCTTGTCAGTGAACATCTTCAAGCTTGCACTGCACATGGGATTCCTTGTCGGTGAACATCATAAGCTTCCTGCTTGTAGGATTCATCAAGAAGCAGGTGTTGTCAAATAACATCCTCAAGATTGCTGCTGTTAAAAACGCATCAAGAAGCATGTCTGACCTTGAACATGACCAACTTCCTTGTCAGTGAGATACACAGAAGAGCAGGTTCAGTCAGTGAACATTGTCAAACTCACAGCTTCCAAAATATGTTACATGTCTTCATGTCTCTATTCACTGACCACATTGTTGTGGAATACGAGAAATATGTCATTAATATATGCCGTAATGTCTAATTTGTTAGTAATCATAATTGATAAACCATTACATGATCTTGACCCTGATTAATCAATACTCCTTTTTGTAAAGGACACTTTCTGAAAACCACTTTCATGTGAGTGTACAAAATCTGCATGTGCCGTATGAGGAAAGGGCCGAAGCATGTCATTTACGAAGGTATGATCAACCAACTCGTGCATTAGCGGCTTGAAACATTGATTTTCATTTATTTATTCTTTCTTTAACATTGTCATTGTTTTACCTTCAAAGTATTAATCACATTGTGCCTCCATCTGCTAGTCAGGAATCGACAGTCGTCTGTATTGGTGTTGTCTTTTCCTTCAGTATTTCCCGTCTATAGACGTTACTTCTGATGTGACAAGCACAAAATGTCCATGTACATAGTTCTTCTCCGGTGTTGTTTAATTGTTATGTAGTCTGCCTGTGCCTGTAGTTGCCAGGAGGTGTACAGCCTGTTTTCATCCTAACTGGGAGGGAATATTGTCAGTTTTCACAGAACATGTGGTTTAGCAAACATTTTTTATGCGTATGTGACAGTTTTCAAATACATTTCATGATCTTTATCATCATAAAATAGGGTAGGATAATATTCACTCTAACAATAGCACATGCTATCCGGGATATCCTTGCAGATCAGGTTCAACTATCTGATGCAGATCAATCATGAAAACAAAGTGAAAATTAGTATTCTTTAAAAATCCTCTCCTAGTGAGGATGAAGACAAGAGCCTGTGTGTGTAGTAGCTCCGTGTGTGGTGGTTTCTCTCAGTGTAGATCAGCTGGGGAGATACAGTCAGAGGCTTGACCAAACACAAAATAATAATACTGTCTTAAACATACATGTATAAACAATATTTTCGAAGGGAGTACGATAAAAATTTTAATCCCCTGGTTATTGGTTAGTATTATCATGTGATGCATATATAACGTCAGAAACCATTTAACGTATATAACGTCCTGATAAGAATGATGTCAGTTTAGATGTATTCAAACAAAAGCCTGAAAAAAATATCAGGAAATGAAAAAAACTCTCAAATTTGGAATCCAGGCAAATTTATCCTATACTTATGCCATCTTATGCTAGTCAGTGAATTGTTGGGGGAAGTGCATGTTTGCATCTGCTGTGGATGGCTGTATTTCTTCAGTTTGTAGAGCTGAAGTGAAGCATTCTGTGATATTTAGTAAGATTTTCTTCCATTTTTCTCTATTAAAACCACATGTTGTAGAGCTTCAGTCATGCCTTACCCAGGACGTACACAATGCTATGGCAGATCATACATGTACTCAATACGTAGTAGTGTAAGATGTACATATGTTGGAGCTGTTCATCTGTAAAGGAACAAGCATGCTCGTCTATAAGGGCACATTCATTTCTTAACAAATATATTTGTGAAATTTTCTTATGTTAACAGACCATCATCATTATTTTCTCAACATATTTATTTATATTTACTAATCTTAAATTGTGTTCATTCCTATCTGTACTTATAAGGCATGTTGATGAGGATGATTTTCACTTATTTAATATTTTACATCTTCATCTTTGTACAGTGGTGTCAGAATGATATCACTCAAACTTGGACATAGACTGTTGCCGTGTTTATTTAGAACAGGTTCATCCTGTTTTGGTGATATTGTCACATTGTATCTAGAAGTGAGTCAATTCAGCTCAGTTCAGTCTTTGTTTTGAAATATTGAGTGAAGTGAAAATATTCGTTACAAGTCTTCTTGGAAGTTCATCAAAATATTTCTTTTGAGTTTTACTAATTGCTCAAGTGAGACCAGGCCGGACTTGCTTCACAGATTACCTGGGTCAGTATTTCAAGATGATGTGTAGTGATAAATCTGGGTCACGCAGTCGTGGGATTCACGCAATGTCACTTCACATTCCCATGAAATAGTTATTATAATGGGGGATTATTTGGGCACAACAAGGAGCTGTCATTAGGGCCCGGGAAATTTACTACCCGACCCCCTATTACCCGACCCTACCCGGGTACCCACTGTAGGCCTCAAGAGTTGAGATATACATATAAAACGATCTGGTCATGCATACACTGAGGTTGACTGAAGCTTTATCTTTACTCAAACATATATAAGTCAGAACGAATGGGTGAATAATCAGAAAGAAATGTGAATAATTAGTGACTTGTAGTGTAAGCATAGAGTTCTGTGACAAGTTTCAGTACCCACTGACCCGAGTACCGAGTTACCCATCCCAGCCCTAGCAGTCGTGATTTCAGTTATTTAATATGTGACCAATAGTCACTGATCCTATCTTGAAAGATTTGTGAAATCCTTCCAAACATTTAGCACCCTGCCACTGGCAGCCAGTAAGTGACGTTGTTATGATCCTGTTGATGACAAAATCGGTGTGGGCCAATCACAAGAAAGTAAGTATGTCATCATTTCTGAATCCACAGATGCTCACATGTTAGTATATGTGCCTCTCTCTACCCCTTCTTCCACACACCCTGTTATTAGTGAAATGAACAATAATTTTAACTTAAATTTACAGTTTGGATGAGATAATTATGGCCAGTTAGAAAAGAGAAACATTATTTCTATAAACATTGTAGTCAAAATGCAGTCATTGTCCTAAAAATGCCTTGATTTAAACTAAATAGAGGGTTGAAATAACCTAATGGTCATCTTCACCATTTGTCTTTAGTGAATGAGTGAGTGAGTTTGATTTGACGCCGCTTTTAGCAATATTCCAGCAATATCACGGCAGGGAATACCAGACATGGGCTTCACATATTGTACCCATGTCGGGAATCGAACCCAGGTCTTCAGCGCGACGCGTTTGTCTCTAGAAATGTAAAGTTTCATCCAAGTTAATATTCATCCTTGCCTATTTTCCCCTATCGATTTAATAAAAAGGTACATTTGATGGCAAAGCTAACCATTGATATGGTGCATACAGTTCCAATTAATTCAGAATGGATTATTAAATATTGTCTTGGAGCATCATGTAAACAGGACCACCGGAGGATGGCAAAGGCCGAGCCTTAACCATGTGCCTTGTTATGTAGACACCTGACCTCCACTGTAGATAGAGACTAATATATTCTATACTCAGACAATAAATATGCCTTGGAATCTGGTGCCAAACTCTTCAGAGATTTTTTTACTTGTACAAATTTAATTTTATGCTTAAATAAACAACTTTTTTTGTATTTTGTGTTTTGTCTTGAGTGAGTTGATAAATTGATACTTCTACCATGGTGGGCTTGATCACTTCTGCATATTGAGTTTTGGAAGTTACATGTTTATTTTGTTTGTATGTTGTTTATCACCGCACTGAGCAATTTTCCAGCTATATGACAGGGGGTCTGTAAATAATCAAGTCTGGACCAGACAATCCTGTGATTGACATCATGAGCATTGATCCCCTCAATTGGGATCGATGACATGCATCAACCAAGTCAGCGAGCCTGACCACCCGATCTTGTTAGTTTGCCTCTTACAGCAAGCAAGGGTTGCTGAAGACCTATTTTACCCCGGATCTTCACGGAGAGACAAGCATGGGTTGCTGAAGACCTATTCTACCCCGGATCTTCACAGAGAGACAAGCATGGGTTGCTGAAGACCTATTCTACCCCGGATCTTCACGGAGAGACAAGCATGGGTTGCTGAAGACCTATTTTACCCCGGATTTTCACGGAGAGACAAGCATGGGTTGCTGAAAACCTATTCTACCTCGGATCTTCACGGAGAGACAAGCATGGGTTGCTGAAGACCTATTCTACCCCGGATCTTCACGGAGAGACAAGCATGGGTTGCTGAAGACCTATTTTAACCCGGATCTTCATGGAGAGACAAGCATGGGTTGCTGAAGACCTATTCTACCCCGGATCTTCACGGAGAGTCAAGCAGGGGTTGCTGAAGACCTATTTTAACCCGGATCTTCACGGAGAGACAAGCATGGGTTGCTGAAGACCTATCCTACCCCGGATCTTCACGGAGAGACAAGCAGGGGTTGCTGAAGACCTATTTTAACCCGGATCTTCACGGAGAGACAAGCATGGGTTGCTGAAGACCTATTCTACCCCGGATCTTCACGGAGAGACAAGCATGGGTTGCTGAAGACCTATTTTAACCCGGATCTTCACGGAGAGACAAGCATGGGTTGCTGAAGACCTATCCTACCCCGGATCTTCACGGAGAGACAAGCAGGGGTTGCTGAAGACCTATTTTAACCCGGATCTTCACGGAGAGACAAGCATGGGTTGCTGAAGACCTATTCTACCCCGGATCTTCACGGAGAGACAAGCAGGGGTTGCTGAAGACCTATTTTAACCCGGATCTTCACGGAGAGACAAGCATGGGTTGCTGAAGACCTATTCTACCCTGGATCTTCACGGGTTTTGGAAGTTACACTTACCATTTTCCTGAAATCATGAGTTTGATTTTCCTGGGTGATGATGGTATGTTTCTGGGGATGATGCTGACAATATCTAACAGATGGACGAATAAAAAGTGTGGAAATTCCCCACCAGTGGCTGACATTCAACTAGCATGAGAGTGTTGTATTGTGCGGCAATGTTATTGCTGCCATATTGTTGCAACTTGTAAACAATCGAATCAGGAGCAAACAAACTTGTAGTGGTGGCACGTGGTCCTGTGTACTGCACACAGGTCACAAATCAGGAAGCTTGGTCATGGAGAATAGATGAATGGGTCATCCAGCTGCTTGGTTCCTGAGAGTTTCCAGGGCTTTGGTCTCCCTAGCCAAGAGACTTTGTTTGAAACATCTCTGTTCACCCAGCAGCAAATGGATACCCAGTAGGACGAGATGGTAATGTGAGTGTAAACATTCTAGCACCTCACAAGGCAGCTTGGGTTGTATACTCCCCAAGGGGCTGAGAATGAAATTTGTCTTACTGTTCCACTGACCAGGGTAATGATGTAAAGCATTAACTTGGTGAAACAATCTGGTGCATTATAAACATTGAGAGCACAAGCATGGATCCACAAAGTTTGGATGCCGTGATGGATCCATCTCGCACATTGTATAACCATCCAATCCACATCTAAGTCAACTCATAACATTTTATTGAGAACTTGTTCCATGATATGCCAGACTGCACCTAACATGTCTGTACATCAGTGGAAAGAGTTGTTCAAGGTGTTTTCAAAATTCCATATCAATTAATAATCAAACACTAAAACATGATTGACATTTCTTTTATTTTCTTCCTTTGTGTTTTAAAAAACAAAAATTGGAAACTGTATCATCCAGTCTGCAACATTCTTGTATTGCATTCATGCATTGCTTTCTAAAATACAATAACAATGTTTCATTACTATACACAATGAACATGAATTATGCCATTTACACACACAAGTCTCTATTGTGCTTCACGGAAACCAAAACATGAAGGAATTTAAACCTTTAACCTTTTGTTTTAAATTCTTCCTGTCTGAAACTTCTACTTCAATATATCTCTGACCATCTCAGAAGTAGGAATACAATACCACCTACTGGGTATAGTAGATGCAACTCCAACATATTCTCCAATAGATGCCTGGTCTATCTCGAGACAAATGTTTCCTCCTCAGAGATGTGACTTATCTTGAGATAACTGCTTACTCTACTGAGATGTGACTTATCTTGAGATAACAGCTTACTCTCTACACAGACATGACTTATCTCAAGACAACTGCTTACTCTACTGAGATGTGACTTATCTTGAGATAACAGCTTCCTCTCTACACAGACATGACTTATCTCAAGACAACTGCTTACTCTACTGAGATGTGACTATCTTGAGATAACAGCTTCTACTCTGCACAGACATGACTTATCTCAAGACAACTGCTTCTTCTACTGAGATGTGACATCTTGAGATAACAGCTTCCTCTACAGAGATATGACATCTTGTGATAACAGCTTCCTCTCTACACAAACATATCTTATCCCAAGACAACTGTTTCTTCTACTGAGATGTGACTTATCTCAAGACAACTGTTGAGATCTCTGTAGGGGGAGATCTCAAGTTAACTACATCCTCTCTCCCGATAAGTGGCTCATCCTGAGATAACTACATCCTCTCTCCCGATAAGTGGCTCATCCTGAGATAACTACATCCTCTCTCCCGATAAGTGGCTCATCCTGAGATAACTACATCCTCTCTACCGAGACATAACTTATCTCGAAATACTGCTTCTTCACTGGTGGATCTGAAGGAGTTTCACAACAAGGGGCACATAAGGGACGTAAATGTGAATCCACATTTAACCTGATGATAATGTAATGGGTTTTGTGTCTTTTGATTAATGAGTTTATGGTCATGAAGTTAAAACAACCGGCTTGTCACTACCTACCGTGATACTGAAACTGCTTCCTTATGCAATAAACATTCAAATCATAGTTTGTCCAGGAACTATTTCAAATACATTACACTATTGTGTACTTTACTACATTGACCATAGAGTATTTGCTATGGTGTTTGAAAACAAAAGTTGGTAAGTCTTAGCTCAGTAACGGGAAAAAAACCTTTTCCATTTCATACACACTAAGGTGTTAAATCATATGAGGAATATTCTTTTTAACATATAGAATGCTGTCCAAGCAAAACAGATTTGTAAGAACGTGGTTTGGGGTTCAATAGATTTAGTTGTGAACATGATGTATTGATAAATATCTCACCAAATACAGATTGAGTATGTTCTCCATATCTACCTCATGTCGTGAGGCCAGAAAGCTCCTCAAATTTAGAACGTTTTGAAGTTGAAGTCTTTCATGTAATAATGTCAATTTCTCTCGATAGAATACTTCTCTTTTAAGCTAGAATACGAAACACCCCATTCCTGTCAAAAGAATCTTTAAACAACATGTTCAACACTCATTGAAAAATAATAGAAGAAACCAGTTTTCTACCTTCAGGACATAATTGTGTCGGCCACAGAAACATATGAAGTGGCAAAGTCTTAACAAGGATGCAATATACATGATATGTACACAGGGTTATATTATGTACTTATTTACATATTTACATAAGTGGAAGTCAACTATTCCTCTACAACAAATACTATGCTGTACACTGGAATGGTCTCCCTCCTATCAACAGTCCTGGTGACCATGACCATGAGTATCACGGTCACCTGTCTCTGGTGCCATGCATACACACCTCAGTAGTTCCTCCTCTCCAGTCTTCTGAGGTTCTTAGAACATATAATCTGGATTTCCATGCCACTGTAGTGCCTTCAATGGGTTGCCTACAACTGACAATTGAGCCTTTTGTAGCATATTTGCATAAAGGTCAAGGTCACAGGTCAAAGCCCATATATCCAATGCACTGCCACCTATGGAAATTTTGCACTTCTTAGCACCAAATGCCATCCAAATTCTAACAGAGTGAATAACTCCCTACAAACAACCAGGTTTTTTTCACAAAAACCTCTTAAGAGTCGTATCATGAAACACATGTTTGTCAAACAGTTCAGATAAAAGACTTTTGCAATCTAAATTCTATGCAACAGGGACCAAAGACCACTTCAGGCAGAATCCTAGACCTGGGTGGCACGTCATGCTTCCAAAACACTCGGGAAATCATTGTCCAACTATTGCACTTTTGATATAAAAAAATGTCTGTTGGCAAATCAAAAGTTTTTCTCTCAGTCTTTTGATCATATCGCTGGCAGTTATATTAAAAATTTAACTCAATTTGCAATAATTCATGCCGAGCCACTGTGATGAACGCTGCCATGAAGGCTGAAGTCACTTCAATCCTGATACAAATGAAAATGGTTTGTTGACTTGAATCTTAAGTTCTTCATAGTTGTAGAGACTTGTAAAGCTTTTCTCTCGAGACGAAAAAGTCCACTTTTTACAAAGACAAATAGAGTTATCTCCCCTTGTCCAAGAACATTCACAAGAAGTCTGAATCATCCTCCATGCCGAGAGAAGGACTGACCGGTGCTGACATCATCATCGGGTCTCCACTGACAGGAGAGTCTTCCTCCTCGATCAGAGAACTGTTGGTAGGTGTTGATGAAAACATGTCAGACTGATCCATTTCCTGTCTGGGTTGAAAGTTGACAGCACTAGGAGGTATCATTGTGGTAAGCGACATCATGTCTTCTGTGTAGCCTGTTGAAACCCCGTGGGCCTTCATCAGCAGTTCAAGTTGCTAGAAGAATATACAGGAGACATTACACACAGTCAAATATTAAGACAATATCACTGGTCGACTATATAGGTACATCAATGAACACACTTATATGTGTGATCGTTTGATAAATGGTAAAACCAAGCAGACCAGATCAAAATTAACAATGAAGTTCAAACTGAAAGTGAACTTATTGGTCTTTGTGATACGTTTACTTTCAGCCAAGGGTTGTCGTAACATCTAAATTGTTGCCAAATTTATCCATGCTCACATATAATTTGCCCTTCTGTGATAAGACATCTACTGGTATGAATATAGAATGTGTCACGAGTAAAAAACATAACATTATTCATTCCTGATTCCAGCAATTATAAGAATCTGTTGACATTTGAGATCTTCATAAGCAAAATAATTCCTGGTGATGGTGAAGGTCAAAGGGAGACAACTCACCTGTACTTTGAGCATGTATCTCCTGTTAGCTGCCTCTAGCTGCCTCCGCTGGTCTTCCAGCTGTCGCACTTTCTCCTGGTCTCGCTTCAGCTTGCGGATGTAGTCCACAGACGCCTTCAAGATAGACCCTTTGTTCTGTCTCAAGTCTCTGTCAACAGAGGAACAGTCCGGTCACAACACCCACAGGAACATTAAGTTCACCCTATCTCTACATTGCAGCAAAAGAGCTGAAAAGTGTTCGTTACAGTGATTTGCGAGCATACGTTCTTGCAGCATTCTCTATCTTCATGACATACAGATATCCTTTAGTGTATATAATATAAGTAGCCTCTCATCAACAACCAAGTTGGGCCTACCTAAATAGATTTTTGAATAGGGAAAACATTTACATTTATTCAGTTTCCCTGTCAAAGAATTGTATTTACTGCCTACAGAAACGTGTTAATGGTAGTTGCAGACCTTGAAGCACATATACACTTCATTTGATGGAAGTTACTTAGGAAATCAAATATTTAACAACTGTTGCAGACTTGCGGAAGAGTCTATTCTGTCAGTGAAGGGGAGTTAACCCTGAGACTACTTACGGATCACTAGATCTGGGCAGCATGGTCCCGAGCTCCTTGATCCTGTCATTGATGTTAAACCTTCTCCTCCTCTCAACTGGAAGCAGTAATTCAATGATATTGTTAGAAAGTGACTTGAAATACTCATACATGAAACCACAAGAACAGAACTGAAAGATAGTTTCTTGCTTGTTCTCAACACCTTTATCTTGCAAATACTTCTTACTCCAAATAAAACCTGAAGATGAAGATGTACTCGAAAAAGGAATCAACAAGAATTGCAGAAACACCATGAAACATTGAAGAGGAAACAGTGGCCTGAATCGACATCAGACACAACCAGCAAGTGTGACATTCCTTCATATGTACTTACTCATATTGTGGTTATCCTTTTTCTGGCGCTCCTTATACCAAGCCTTCTCATCATCTTCTGTGATGAAGCTTGGCGTCGGTTCTTTACGGAAAGCAGCTGGGCATGATGATGAGGACTTGGCGCCAGCTGAGTCGACCGAGTATGTGTTAAGGAGCTGAGATTGAGGCATCTGAAACAATGAATCATCATCATCATCACAAGAAAGAAAAATAATCTTACCTGGTGAATTCAAGAAAGTTGATATTCAAAAGTTATACATAGTCCAGAGGGAGACAACTTGATACGGCGCTTCATAAGATTGTCAAAATGTCAACAAATTTACCTTGTGGTAATAACACTTCCCCCTCATATTACTTCAGGGACCTTGCTGATTAAAAACTAAAAACGTTTTTTTTGTATTATCACAAGTAAGCATGCATATTGCTTCTGAACCAGTCACTGATAGAAGCAAACATCAAGATCCAACAACACTCACTACCATTAGATCATTTCTGGTAGTTACGAAACAATCATCTTGAGCCTTGCAGATGTACATCAGTTATCAGATAGTGGCACTTCTTATCTCCCAATACTGATCAGGCATGATACGTACACCACTGACGAGGGTTAAGGGTTGTATGCTATCAAACAATGTGTAATACTTTCCTCCTCATACTGATAACTGTGTACTCGGTGCTAGCGCTGTCAACTAGGTTAGTAGATCACGTTTACCCTGCAATTATCAGCTCTTGATAAACGACAGGTCAAAGTGGTGGTTACACTTGCACTGTTTGTACGCCATCTTTTATCACACTGGTTTGTTGAGATTAATCTCAGTATTTTATCAACTGCCCCCATTGGTTTGTTTTTTTCAGGAGGGGTTAAAACTTAGAATTACTGGACTATCCAACAGATAATTACTGGACTATCCAACAGGTAATTACTGGACTATCCAACAGCCAGTTATTGGACTATCCAACTTCTCCATGCAAAGAAATACTAAGACAAGTTCCTGGCCAGTCTATCCTCAGGTAATCAACTCTCCCTTAGCTAGCCTTCTCCATGGTATTGAGCTGTTTTTTGGCTGATCGCAGATTGTTAAGAAGGAGGTTGTCTTCTACTGACTGTACTACATGTACCATTCTAACTTTTTGAGTATGATGTGAATCTAAATGGTGTATTCTTGTAGCACTTACTGTGGATGACATTTGAGTGAGAGATGGTTCGATGAGAGTGAGGTCACTGTCCAGACAAGCCTCCACAGACTCCAGGCTGATGATGTCCGACAGGAAGTTGTCCACCTGAAAAACATCAGTGTCCATATGCAGATTACTACTTCAGACATTGCATTGCTTATTCTGACCATAACATAGTTGGTTTTCCAAATGTCACAACCTGTTGCATAAGCTACCAAATACATGTTGAGTTTTAAGAAAACATAATTTATACTCATTTGACAACAATTGTTATCATGGACAAACTTGTCAAAGGTGATCCTACAGGATTTCATAACTCTGAACAGGTGATTGATTGTATTAAACACGAACTGTGCTGTTGTAAAACTGACCTCTGATGTGCTTGTAGCTACACTGCTGAGCCCCATGGAGAGTGGACTGTCAGGATCTGCTGGGGCACTCCCTAAGAAGCCCAGATCCCCTGGGGCGGAGGTGCTGGAAACAGCAGGGAGGGACTGCACTGTCACAGGAACCTGACCCTGATTCAAGAACATCTGAATCTGACGCTTCTTGTTCTGCTGCATGTGGTATTTGGTGGGGAACTGTAGATTGGTCTCCACCTGCAACACAGAACACACCTGTACCTCCACAACCAACCACTGTCCTTCAGCACCTGCAATAGTAATGTCATACACTCAGTTCTTCATTCTAACTGCAGATAAATTTGATAATTAGGTTTGGCTTGACCTATTAGTTGAGAAGCTGCAGGATGTTCCAGAATTCCCCCTCAGCACTAGAGTTTGACTCCTAAGGTTTGTTTGGGGGGAATACTTAAGCATTACTTCTGTTGAAAAGTTGCTCAAAATTATCCTAATTTTGAACCAGTGAACCTATTTTAAGCACAAAATTACTGCTCATTATTCTTGTGTGTGGTCAACAATTGGACTTCTGCACTTTGGGACATTTACATCATCCAAATTAAAACATTCAAATCTTTCAGAATTTCATTCCAGTGTAAATTAGTGAGCAGTTGGCATATTTTAGAACTATTTTGAAAAAATATTTCAAAGAGAAAAGCTATATTCCAAATAAGGTCGTGAATATAGCATGGCAGAGCTAGTGACGATGAATAACATGGGCAGCTAGTTCAAGCAGACGTCATCCCTGCTTCCGTCTGCTACTTCCTGCCATTAGTAAGTGCACTGTGGTCAAAGTGTTAAGTGCATCATCATGGAGAAGTACACAATGTATTGTCCTAATAATACACTGTAACCAAGGTGATAAGGTCAAGGGTCAACTCATCTGGGAAATCACTTCAGTTTGAGATGTGACGGTTTATCAAACGCTCGATCATTGCATACTACTGACGTAACATCACAAAGTGAAACAGGACTGAACCAAGGCTCTTAGCTTCACGGAAACTGGGAGTATGGCTAGATTCCATAACACCAGACAGTCTGATATTCATTATTCTTTCTATTTCTCTACATTATTATTATTTATGTAGATGTTTTTTTGGTAAATGTTCAATCCTAGAAGTGAATATACACATAGGATCATACACTGCTTTATGTTTCAATGCTTCAATTCAAAGCAGCTGTTGATCCAGCTCTCAAAACACGCCTGTTGATACACATGACTGCTGATACATAAATAACATAAATATCTCCAGGAAAACATGAATACTAGCATACAATAGTCATATAATCAATATGAGTTGGGGTGCACATACATTAGACCCAAGTATACAGAAATTAACACATTCGGTATATATATATATATATATATATATATATATATATATATATATATATATATATAGAAAACTATATTTAAAACGAACACCCTTATAACGAACTGATGGATATAACAAACTATTTTTTGGTTGTGTCCATTGTATATATGCTTATAATGAACTACGGTTATAACAAACTTAAATTAGTTGTCCCTTTGAGTTTGTTATAACCGTTCACTGTATGTTACTTCCAAATCACAACTTGACAATTAACAGCTACAGCTCGCTACACTATTTCATCATATTATACAAAGGAAATATTAAATGTTATTAGATTTTCATCCCACCTGCCTCACATTATCTTACTGTCTGTCGCAAAGTACCTAAAGATGAAGAAAATAACTGAGTTTGTCTTCCTTCCTTACTTGATGAAATTCACCATACCAAACACATGCTTTATCCCTAAAGCCACAGAGCTAATATACACAGACGTCTTGAACAGTTTGTGTAATTGCCCAAATTATAAAACAATTTAGAAATAAATGTCATATTTTTTATTGCAGGGTACTTACATCATTGATAAATTAATCTTTGTAAAAAGATATATCTTAGCATCTGTTATAGTACATATACAGATCAATAGTGCCAAGTGTTAATCAATATCACTATGATTAATTTGTCCACAATTTGTCATTATCAGTTTTTAATTAAATATTTTAAAAAAGTAGTTGGGTACACACCCTTAAGACTTGTGGCGGCACTTCTGTAGAGGTGACGCTGACGGTCGGCATGTCAATGGTTTTTGAGGGCACGCTGGAAGGTTTGAACGATGATGACAATACGGTCTCTCGCTTCTCCTCCTCAATCAGCTGCTGCCGCATCAGCTGCAACCGCAGGTTGGTTCGATTGGACATGCTGGCATTCCGAATGTCTGTCACTGGACTGAAATAATAATGTACAGGGTAAGACGAGCATGATAACCATTATACCATTTCAGTTTCTAATTAAACACAATCAGATTCAGACATCATATAGCTATATGCCATAGCTACATTGAAGTTTTGTTTGTTTGTTGTTTAATGATGCACTCAGCAATATTCCAGCTATATGACAGCGGTCTGTAAATAATCAAGTTTGGACCAGACAATCCAGTGATTGCAGTATCTACTGTTCACATCCTATAACATAGCAAAGAACAATTAAGATTGAACTCAAATACAAAAAATACACATGAACAATTTTATGGCATACAGTTTTGGGAAAAAGTGTAATATGATTTGTTAAAGCTATAAAATAAATCTCAATTATTACGTTATTGTCTCTGAAAATATATAATATTGACAGAAACAAGTAACTCCTTTTAAATAATAAAGGAGCGCCAGTGTGATGGCAACATGAGGAAAATCTAGACTTGCTTCAATTAGGAATTTTGCATTACAGGAAGGGCTGGGCGGAAGGGAAAATAATACGGTTATGGGACTGTGAGACAGACAAGAATAATTATTAAAACTTCAAAAACAAGAGCAAAAAAGACTAAATGAAAAGAATTATACCCCATGTCAAGTGTGTACCTCATGTTTCCGTATGTCACAATGTCTCAACAATATGATTGACATAACTGTGTTACACTGGTAATAAATAGTTGTGCTAAGGTAAAACCGAAGTGTAAGTATTCGAGGAAAACTTCCTCCCATGTACCTGGGTATTTCCCTCACACAAAGACTACTGCCATGCAGGGCAATTGTATGTCAAAGTCCTTTTCCTAAAACTACATAAATATTTCCTGCAGTCACTTCAGAATCAGCAATCCTATGAAACACGTCCTTGACAAACCCAGTGCTATTTCCCTGTTCAGAAAACACTTCTGTGTTATATATCTGCATATCTACACTGTTAAACTATGTTTTCCTTGTAAAAGCCCACTCTTGAGTGTTAGCCAATCCACATTACTGGGTCAATGAAATAGACCATATCTTCACTGTCTACCTATTTACAAAAGGATTGCTTGCTAACAACAGAAGCATCCAGTTTTCAGACAAGTAGTGAGTGAATGTTGTTTGATGCAGCTCAATGAAAATAAGAGGCCAATAACATGAAAATATGCATGATTCTGAAAAACGCATTACACCAGCATTTTCCGTATGTATTGTGATACATATACATTAGTATTTCAATCGTGGTGTACTGGTATACCAGTAACATCGCACACCTCTACTAATTCTGAGTACAGTACATATCATTCTTACCAAGTAAGTTGACAAAGCAGACACAGCAATCTGACGACATGGCCACAACCTCCCTAATCATTGATAAACACTTCTGTGACCTTGTCCAGCTATGATGTGCCATGTGTGGCCACGACCAAGCCAAGGTCAACCCTTCTCCATCAAAACAAGTGTATCAATACTATCCCTCCACCTGATTCCACACATGTGTCTACATATCACCAACAACTGCTACTGTTGAATATTGGTGACGACATAAAACTTTCACTAACAGAACTGGATAACTGTTATGTTTCTTCATGTGATAAACAGAAATTATCATGTTGTCAATCCGGTGGAACGTCTATGTAACAATTAGATTATGACTGATAATATGTTTCCATCACTGAAATGTTTTCTTAAATGTCACATTCTAGAGTACTAGAGATAAAAATGAGCCACTAGGCTCTATATCTCATCGGAATTTTTCGGGAATATTTGCAACATTACTTTACAAAGGTCATAATGAACTTGATAATTGGTAAACATGAAAAGAGAAAAAGAAGTAACAGACATTACGCTACAAGAGAACATCATAAACATTTCATTCTGAAACATGTTGAATAATAGCAACAATTGCAGATTTGATCAAATTTAATTGAGTTCTGTTAAGTTTAGTAGAGTAACCATTGCTAGGACCTTATACATAAACTTTCAATTCTTTAACCCTGAGGATTCAGAGGTATAGAAAATGCAGTAAATTTAGATAATCATGTCAAAGGCTACAGCAGGTTAAAAACTCACTTGAAACTCTGTTCAGTGGAGTTAAAGATAAAAAATATGATGTTGCTCTAACCAAAAAGAAATCTTTTCTTTTTTAAACCTAACTTACAAGGAACATGCTTCACCAAATAAAAGAATTATTTACAGTAAGATTTCCCCCCATCTAAGACAATAATTACAATGTGCAAACTTGTTAGTCATGTAATTTTCAGTCTTAAGAATGATACAGCAATATTTTCATGAACAGAAAAATGTCAAAAGTGTATAATCAAGTCAATCAATTTCAGTACATACATGTGAAAACGAAAAGACACCATCAGGATTGACATGATAAACTAATTTACATTAGAACATAACATAAGTTAATAGGTCATCAAAGATATCTGACAAGGACTGCCTATCTCACAAAACAGCACATATCATTAACTACAAAATACAATTTCAGCAACAGGAAATCGCCATACAAGGACATAGATAACAAAGTCCTGTCAACCATGAATCACCTGCACAATAAACCACAGCCAAAGACCATTCAAACAAACAAGGCAGTCAGTGAGTCTTATCTGCTAACTTCACCAATCTAGGACAGTATATCATAAAATTTCAACCTTATGAGTCACACAAACAGCTGTTAAAAACATGTCACAGTGACAAACTGAGCCAACCGTGACATAGGCGTACCTTGTCCGCTGTCGTAAACACTGATTTCTCCGTTTTCGAGGTAAAGTTAGATCTACGGGTTGGTTCCCGCTCCTGGTGTCTGGTGGACCATGCACCTCCATGGCCACACGACTAATCCAGACAATGTACCACACATATCTAGGTCACACTGAACTTTGATAGTCCAACCCTATCATCCAGTAATCACCCCAGTCATTTAAATTCTACCTGCTAACCTACTGCTTATATCACTGGTGCTATGGCCGGCATTTACACACGTTCACTCCATCAACTTACTACGGTTACAAGAGAATAGAAATGAGGAACTTAAAATACACTTGTTTGATTTATATTCACAAAGAGTTGACAAATATTTCATTTCACTTTAATATTGATATTAACCCCAAAATGCATAAATTGTATTCATGTTACTCGTATGCAGTGTTTATTGTTAATTTGTAATGTATACTTAAGGCTGAAGACAATTAGGACTGCCACATGTTAAATGGAACCCATTGTGGTATCATTAAGTGCAGTGTGTGGTGATATGAAATAACATATTGATTATACTTTAGATCTGAAATTTGATACATGAATAAACTTCTACTTCAGCAACATATTCATAGCAGTCTTTCCATCCAACAGATCAGGTTTCTTACTAACTGTATCAGTCCATCCTCATGGACTCTGCCCTGTGTGTTAAAGAAACAGATAAGGCTTATCAGGTAGACAGCAATATATATCAACTTAACACTCCTGTGCTGCTCAATACGTTCGAGTGTTACCACTCATTATCTCTTATTGCTTAACACTTTGTTTGTTTGTTGTTTAACTCTGCACTTGGCAATATTCCAGCTATATGATGGCAGTCTGTAAATAAACAAGTCTGGACCAGACAATCCAGTGATTGACATCATGAGCATTGATCTATGCAATTGGGATAAGATGACATGCATTAACCAAATCAGCGAGCCCGACCACCCAATCCCGTTTGTCACAACTTACGACAAGCATAATCGCCTTTAATGGGAAGCATGGTATGTTTCACACTTTATCTCAAATTTTAATCTTGTCACTAAATTCACTTCGTTCCATGCAGGGTATATAATCATTATTGCACATTTATTTTATTTTACAATGTCAATGTAATTACTATTATTTACTGCAATATGTAACGGGTATAGCAAATCCGGAAAGTCTTGCCCCATGAAATTATTGCGCGTGGCTAACACTGACCTAAACTGTATCAGAAAAGTTTTGCAACACCCTGTTACGTTAAGACTACCAAAGATCAAATGTTATTTTTGATAAGTAGGAAGCGCCATAATTAAAGGTACCTCAGTGTTTTTTTAAACTATAGATGTGTTGTTGTTGACATGGGAGGTTGGAGTAGCGTGTTTATCTAGCAGTATAGACTGGCTGGCGTACTACACAGTGTTATTGGATAGTGAGTGACAATGCCTAATTAGAGAAACCTAGGATGTGAGGGATTATTTATTTACTCATGTACTGGTTGGTTTGACAATGTGTGAAAGAGAATGAAAAAAATATGCCTCCTTTTGTCTTTTGTTTGTTTGCAAAAATGACTGCGTCATGAAACTATTGGGAGTGTGCGTCACACAGTTTTCGCAGTATTTTCCTGCTCGCAGATCTTTCCAGATTTACAGTAGCATTCTTAACTGATAAGACAACAGGAGATTATTAAAATAAGAAAACAAATCCTCACTTATTCTTTATTTTTTTTTTCTACCTCGTTTTAATACCATATGTGATTGTTCATTAAATGTTGAATGAAGTTGTAAAACTTGTTATAATACCTCCATGTCAGAATGATGAGATCTGATTGGTCTGCCTGATCATGATAAAATACTGTGTAACCCACCTTTGAGGGTAATAAAGTTTTCAGCAGGGGAATATATCTCTTATACCCCGCCATGAGCAATACAGGCTGCACATGGATTTCTCAGAGGCAGAATAAATCCTTTATACGCTTTCAAGCAAAAAGCTGCATGCTTTTTCCGAGTCAATGGAAGTCAGGTTATATAGCACAAGTGAGTGAGTGAGTGAGTGAGTATGGTTTTACGCCGCTTTTAGCAATATTCCAGCAATATCACGGCGGAGGACACCAGAAATGGGCTTCACACATTGTACCCATGTGGGGAATCGAACCCAGGTCTTCGGCGTGACGAGCGAATGCTTTAACCACTAGGCTACCCCACCGCCCTTAGCACAAGTTAACCTCAGCTCAACGGAACAGCTGTTTTCTGTCAGTTTAGAATTTGTTTTAATTTTTTT